ATAATATTGCATGAGTTCCTTGTTTTTCAATGCAGCATAGTATTCCATTGTATGAATATACCACAGCTTCTCTATCCATTCATTTGTTGATGGGCACCTGGGTTGTTTCCAACTCCTTGCTATTATGAACAAAGCCGCGATAAACATGGATGTGCATAGAGAACTTTTCTCACATTCTTGGGGCATGTTCTCAAGCAGGGCCAATCTCTGGAGAAAGACATGATATATGGGGAGAGAAAGCTAGACTGGCACAGGAACTACAGCTGTGGTTCATTGCACCAGGAGTTGGGGGGTTAGAACAGGATGAGGCAGTGTCTCCTGATGTTTCCACAGGGCCGAGTCAGAACCGAGTCAGCACCAAAGAGGCGGTGCACTTGGCACTGCATGGTTCTGGGGCAGGGGTTGGGAGAGGAGGCAAGCTAACTGCCCTGCTGCAGTGCAGCATGCTCTGCCAGCTGCTTCCATCAGGGCAGTTGGCTGATGGGTATTCTGTACTATTGGCAACTCTTCTAGAAATCTTAAGTTATTCCAATAGAAAAATTTCATTTAAAAAAAAACACAAAAAACTTCATTGGCTGTAGTTAGGAGATGGGCTGGTCATGGAAAGGTCTAAACTGAGCGAAGGGAAGGGATGGGACATGACAGCAGCGTCAACAGAGACTTCCAGGGTGGAGCCAGGACGCCAGAGCACGGGAGCTCACTCACTGTTGTGGTCTGAACAACTTTTAGCTGACCTCCAGTGGGTTTCCAAGGCTGTGAATGGCATGGGAAGGGAAGGCCCATCTTTCTCTTGTAGAGCTGCTGGTGCATTCGAACCACTACAGAGGAATGACTTTGAGTTAGTAGCACACTCCCTAAGGATTGCACCACCAGATCTCCCTGATATGGGATGGTGGTGTTGTGTACTGTCCAGTTGGAACCACCCCATAGCTGACCCTCCAGTGGGTTTGCAGAGGCTTTAGATTGCATGGGATCTACAACCTGTGTGTCTCCTGTGAAGCAACTGGTGATCTAAAACACCTGCCTTTGTGCCGGCAACACAGCTCTTCACCAAAAGACTAGAGCTCCCTACATATGGGATTGTTATTGTTAGGTGCCATCAAGTTGAGTATGACTCATAGCGACCCTATGAACAGCCGACCTGAACCTTGCCCTATCCTGTGCCATCCTCACCATCTCTGACACACTAAAGCCCATTGCTAAAATTATCCTGTCAGTCCATTTCATTGGGGGTCTTCCTCTCCTTCTCTGACCCTCCAACTTTCCAGGGAATAGCCTCACCCAGCTACATGTCCAAAGTATGAAAAGACGAAGCTTCACATCCTTGCCTCCAAGGAGTACTCAGGCTGCCCTCCAAGACTGTTTGCTCTTTTGGTAGTCCATGGAATATTCAGTGCTCTTCTCCAGCATCACTACTCAAAAACATCTATTCTTCTATCACCCTTATGCACTGTCCAGCTCTCTAACAGTAGTAGATGATTGAGAAGACCAGGGCCTGAATCACACCTTAGTATTCAAACTGACATCACTGCTCTTCAACATTTTGGAGAAGTTCCTGACAGCCGAGCTGCCCAATGCAATAGGTCTCTGATATCTTAACTGTTGGTACCAAAGGTGTTCATCTAAGGAATATGAAATCATTGTCAGCTTCAGTTCTTTTTACACCTATCGTAATGTTGACTGTTGGTCCTGTGATGAAGATTCTTGTTTTCTTGATTTAGAGATGTAATCCACATCGAAGGCTATAGTCTTTGATGACCTGCAGCAAGTGTTCCCATATCCTCTTCCGTTTCAGCAAAATTGTGTCATCTGCACAACACAGGTGGTTGATGCCACATTCTTCTTCATACAGTCCAGCTCTGTGAATTATGTGCACAACATATATATTGAAAAGGTGTGGAGAAAGGATACCAACGTGATGCATACTGTTCTTGATTTTAAACTATGCAGTGTTCCCTTACTCTCTTCGTGTAACAGCTTCTTGATCTAGGTATCAATTTTGTATTAGCACAACTAAGTGTTCTAGGATTCCCATTCTTCTCAATGTTAGCCATACTTTATGATCCAACCAGTTAAATGCCTTTGCATAGTCAATAAAACACAAATATACATTTTCCTGGTATTCTTTGTTTTCCACCAGGATCCATCTGACATCAACAATGATAAATAATCCTTGGTGCCTCTTCTAAAGCCAGTTTAACTTCTAGTAGTTCCCTAACAGTGTACTGCTCTAGCTGTTTAATGTTCTTCAAGAATATCTTAATTGAAGGGAGCTCTGCTGGCCTAGTGGCAAGAAGCTGTGCTGCAATTACAAAGGCATGCAGTTCAAATCCACCAGATGTTCTGCTGGAGGAGGGGCAATCTCCTCCTGTACCAGCTGGATCTGATTCAATGGTACACACACACAAATAAAATAGAAAATAAAAATGTTAAAAAATAATACCTTGATTGACTGAGATATTAATGATATAGTTGATTAATTTCTGCATTCTGTTGGATAACCTTCCTTGGACAGATCTACCTCTCTTACAGTCAGTTGGCCTGGTAGCTGTCCTCCAAATTTCCTGGTGTAAACTGGTGACTACATACATCTAGGGCAGCATCTGTTGGTTGAAACATACTAATCAGTATTCCATCAATTCCTAGGGCCTTAGTTTTGCTAATGCCTTCACTGCAGCTTGAACTCCATCCTTCACTATCATTGGCTTTTGTTCAAATTGTACTTCCTGAAATTTTCAGTGTCAGCCAATTCTTTTTGGTACAATGATTCTGTGTATTCCATCTTCTTTTGATACTTCCTGGATTGTTCAATATTGTACCCAGAGCATCTCTCAATATTGGAACTCGAGGCTTGAATTTTTCCAGTTCTTTCAGCTTGAGAAATGCTGAGTTCATCCCTTTTTATTGACTCTAGTTCTCTACACATTGTTATTTTGCTTTATAATCTCTAGCTGCCCTATGAAATCTATTCATCTCTTTTGTTTTTGGTTTCTTGATACTGATAAAAATTTTCATAGTTTCTTCTGACATCCATTTTGGTGGTTTTTTTTTTCTTTCTCCTCCTTTGTACTGACCTTCTGCTCTCTTCATGGATATCTCTATTGATTTCAATGCCTCAGACTTGAGATGATTCTTAAATTCAGCTGGAATAGGCTCAAGGTTGCATTTTAGTTCCTATGGACTAATTTTCCTTTTATTCAGCTTCAATTTAAACTTGCACATGAGTAATTGATGGTCTGTTGCACCATCAGCACCTGGTCTGGTTTTGACTGCTGATACTTCACTTCTCCAGTGATTCTTTCCACAAATAGTGTCATTCCTTTGTAATCCATCAGGTGAGGCCCATGTGTAAAGTTACTGTGTTTCTTCAAAAATATCTATTTTCTAGGAATAAATTATTGAGCACACAAAACTTGATCATTTAATCTCTGGCCTCATTTCTGTCAACAAAGCCATAGTTTCTAACTACTATTCCTTCACATTTCAGAAAATGGTTTCCTTTATTTTCAGTTATCACTTGCCCATTACCAGGACATAAGCTGAGTGCATAGAACCACAGCCCTCCCTGGTGGAGTTCTGTGTAACCATTTCTTTTTTCCACACAGGAAAAATATCCAGATGTTGTCTACCTCTCTGAAGGTGCCGCCTGTAACTGCATGAGGATCCAGAGCACCAGACAGCCTGAGTAAGTGGACAGCTGGTTTACTCGACTACCATGGGGCCCAGCATCAGCATGGTCTCAGCTGACTAACCTGGGTGCAACTGCAGAACCAGTCCTCCTCTCCAACCCTCTGCAGCGGCTCCCATGCTGGCTGCTGCCCTGCTCAAGATGCAGACACTGCTGCAAACCAGCCATTGAGGCCCCTGGTGGGTTAGGCAGGGGAGGGTGGAGGTGATTCATTTCTTCTCCACCAGAGAATAGGTGCTGCATACAGCAGTATCTTTTCTTGAAATTCAGAACTCACCTTAAAATGTATTTTACTGCTTTCAGATTTGAATTAATAATTGTTTGGAGGATACAAGTAGATGACAAAGGGAAAGTTCTGCCAAAGCTGGATCTTTTAACCAAAATCCCACAACAAGGTAATGTGAAATCATTTCTCCCTCATTCACTGCCATCAACTTGATTTTGACTCATAGCAACTTTCCATTGGGTTTCTGAAGCTGTCAATCATGAGGAAATGGTCCATCTTTCTCCCTCAAAACCATTGGTGGGTTTGAGCCTTTGGAGGTGTGTGACCTTTGCATTAGCAGCCCAGCTCCTGTGGGCTTAACTCCAATTACACGTGTTGTTGTTGTGTTGTCAGAGTGAGAACCACCTCCCAGCTGACCCTCCGGTGGATTTCCAGATGCAGAAAATCATGAGGGGGGACAGCCCATCTTTCTCCCACAAAGCAGCTAGTGGATTTAAACCATGGGCCTCTGGGTTGGCAGTGTGTTAAAAGACTCAAATGTCGATGTCCCAGGGTAACTTCTGACTATGCTAGATAAGCCATCCTCCTTCCAGCAGGGTGTACATGACAAAATAATCAAGCAGAAAATATAACTTTTGCATTTTTGATATATATGAAAAGGGAAAAAAATCTTTTCCATCAATAATTACTCAGAAAACACGAGGAAGGGGGGTTGTCAATCAGTGGGCCTCCTGGGCCGAATGTAGGCTGGGAATGTGGTAACATGGAGCCTCCCCTTGCCCACACCCAGCCCCTAACCTCCTCAGAGGCTGCCAAGGAAGGTGTTAATCAGCCTTTAGGTGAGGCCCACAGGCAGGAGTAGAAAGTACAACTGAGAAGCCAGCCCCTCTGAAGTCCTTATGCAGTTTCTGCTGTCTTTGTAGCTAGGAAACGGGATAAGAAGGAAGTCCAGAAACGTGCTCCTGTCTGCTTCCGCACCCTGCTGGGGGTACTTGGAATTGAAGCCTCTCTAGAAAGCCTGATAAAATTGTTTCTCAGCACAAAAGAATGATTAGTTCACAGAAACGAAACACTTACAAATCAAATTCTGCACTCAGCAGTTTATAATTTTATTGACTATAAACATTTGCTATTTCCCATTTAGAAATCGTATCCTTAAAACATGCTGTGTATGCAGTATGGCACATAAATATATAAACTGTCATGACATGAAAAATAAATACAGCTATTTAAATAGAAAATGTCAAATACAAGTGGCATGTATAGTGTATTTTTTTTAAAAATAAGCTTAACATTTGAGTCAGTATATCAAGAGTGAGTGCATGTTCTTAGAGACACCTGGAGGTTTCTATGACAAATCTGGGAGCAGTGGTGGTGAAAGAGGTCCCCAGCAGACCTCGGGGGTGGGGGGCAACATGCTGGCTCAGCTTTGCTCTACATCATCATCCATCTGCTTCCCCACGGACACACTGCACTGCTGGGCTCTGGCTATGGGCCCGGGTTTCACTCTCCCCATATGTCCTTGTGTGGGGAGTAGCAATGGGTGGTCTTGCAGCATTCAGCAAGTATCCTGGCCTTCACACGGAGTGGTGCTGCTGTGCCATCTTGAGAATGCAGTAGACACAAGACCACTAGTGCCCTCCCAGCTGCCGCCGAGCTCCCAGAGCCAGGGTTTTTGTGCCTTCTAAGTGCTCTCGTGGCTGAGTAGATCTACCCATTTCAACAAATTCAGGACCATAACGATGTATGACTGCAAACATGAACCTCACAGGCAGGACGTCTGCATAGTGCTATTGGCACCGCGGAGATGAGGCCTGGAGCCCGGCTGGGTGAGCCAGCACCCCAACGCCTTGCTTCTTTTGCCTCAAACAGACACACATGTTCTAATATTATTCAGTCCTGCTGGGGTGGGCCCATGTGAGGCAGCTCTCTGTACAGGCAAGGGGCTATACCACACCTGTCCTGCAGCTGCTGAGAGGACACTACACAGGCCCTGCCTGTATTGGTAGGACTCCCTGGCCTCAGTAATGACATGGAAACCTCAGGTTAAACACAACATGGGGCCAAGGCTCTTTCCAGGGCACACAGCTAAAGCTATTTCCCTTCAAGTCTTATCTACTGTAGTAAAAACCAGTGAAATATAGAAGTTATATATAAAAATTATAGATAGAAAGATAGATAGATAGATGATAGATAGATATAAAATACACACTCCCACATATATGAAGAGAGATTTTCATCAGGGAAATGGCCCACACAATAGTAGCAGTGGCAGGAGAGAACCTCTTTAGGCTTACAACGCAGAGGTAAGGTGACATGAAGGGAGCAAGAACTTTGTCTAAACATCTACTTCTAAAATGGAAATGGTCACGCCCCACAGGAAATGCTCCTATCATGGGAAGTTGTTATATAGAAGGGTGCCTGGCCCAGTCTGCCAAACTGCTATGAATGGAGAGTCTAACCAAGCTGACAGCGTTCAACGTCACACCTCATTATGGTGAGGCTGGGGAAACCTGCATGTTCAGCCCCAAAAGGCTCCACACAGGCCAATCTGCTTAGGGAGCATGCCCACCAAGGGTCACCAGAGCCTCAGCGTAGGAGGTCAAGAGAGCAGCTCTGAGCCCTCAAAGTGAAGAAAGAGTTTAACATTAGGACAGAATTGAACAAATTCTAGAGATGGCTTGTTTTAAACAAGTGTAATTTTCAAGTTATTACAAAATTTCCCACAAAAATTATCAGCAAAACATCTTCCAGGCAGCATTTTCATATAATCCCATAGTTTCACTAATAAAACATTTGGTTAGATTAAGCCATCATTAGTCCCTCAGAATTCACGTGTATACAACATGTCATAGGAAAACTGGCCCCAGCTGGGTTCTACAGCAGCTAAGCTGTGATCACACACTAGTGATCCCAGAGGCCTCTCGGTGCTCTTGGGACAGACCCTCCCGCTGGCCCCAGTGTGGAGACAGGTCTGCACACACTGGAAGAAGGAAGTGAGGAGCTTGTGCCCTTAGATGCAGGCCAGCTGGCCACTAGCAGCTCTAATCAGTCAACCTCTTCTAACAGCTTCTAAAGCAGCAACTTCAAGTGGAAAGACTATACTATTGCTCTCCCTAGCGTTAAAGATGGGAAAAAAAAGTAAATTCCTGATGGAAGGGCTCCCTGCTACTCCCTGCTGGCCCAGGCACCCCATCCACAGGGTCCCTGAGCAGGGGCTACTACCTAGCCACCCCATGGACACATTGGGCCTACATCACAGAGTGGCCTGAATGTAAAAAGGCAGCCATGGATTCAGCTCAGAAGTTCCAGTAGTACCCATGTGTTCTTAAACATCCAAAACATTAATATGTGAGACTCAAGTGTTCTATGTTAGGAGAGTATTGTAGTATGAGAGTATTGTAGTAGCATTTGGGTTTCAATAAGGCTTTCTGCATTGGAGAATCAGATGTGAGCCCTGGCCAACAAAGAACAACTATTCAGAATATCTCCATAGGCTTCTGAAAACATTTCCATTTTAAGACCAAGAAAAAGCCTTCCTGGGAAAAACCTACTGCTGAGGTCAACCCCTTTCTCCTTGAGACATTTCTAGTGCTATGCAATTCCATCTCTGTGAGAGGCAAACACACTTCAACAAAAGTTAAAGCAAAAAACATTCAGAGTCAAAAGTTACCCAACACAACAATACAGCTCTATCATTAGCCTTCACATTCTATGTTTGTGTTTTGAAGACACGCAGGAGAAAACTTAGACTTTGTGGAGGAGGAGCGTGCAGTCCTCACTTCCTTTTAACCGGGGTGGGCTGGCTGCAGTGGCATCCTCAGCACGCACAGCCTTGCAGTAGTAGTTGATGATCTTGCCATCTAGTGTGTACTGGTGAGGAATACTCTCATAGGGCTTGAGGTCAAGGTCCAGCACGGACACCGAGAAGGCAAGGCGGGATTTGGATGTGGGCACGATGGGTCTGTGACCAGGGCTGGAAGAGAAAATGCAGTGTTGAAACTACACCCTCTCCACGCCCTGCACTACAATTGCCCTGCTGGGAACACATGCAAGGTCAGCAAGGGCCACTGCCGCAGGCTTCCCAGTGGACATGAGCTCAGGTAAATGAGAGGAAGAAGGGCCTAACAAAGGTAGGACAGCAGTCATGTAGGATGCCTCGTGTCCAGCTACTTTATCATGAGGTTACACAGGACAAAGAGGATGCAGACCCGTTCCTGACAACCAGGTCAAGGAAGAGACCTTTTGATATGCATCCTCTGTAGTGAGGAAGGAACTCTGTTCATGCTTTTCACATTGGAAGAGAGATTTGGTCTCATTTCTCCAACTGGACCTACAATGCTTCATATTTTCTTGGCGCATATATGTGTTTGTGTGTGTTTAAACATCAGAGTGTTCATATAATTAAATGCAAATTAACACAGGACAGGTATTCTGGAGTCATCACTTTGGTATATTTACTACTCTTCTAGATTTAGAAAGCACCAAGGTTCTGCTTGCAAGGGAGGGTTCAGGGGATCACTAAATGTTCATTTTTTAATGGCATCAATGAAAGAAAGGTCCCAATTTCTAGGTCTTTGGCAAATTCCTGCTACACAATCATGTTCACAAGAAAACACAATTATTGGTTCAGTTACTGTCTTCAAAATAATAGGAAATAAGCACACTTCCAGAGGCACCACACCTTCAAAGCTGGAAGGGCCTCCAGGCAGTGGTTAGAGCCCTCTGCCTGCTGTCCTTTCAGGTCTGAACAGCTGTAGCTTCTAATGGCAAACCATGCATGTCACCAGCAAGCAGCCAGCGCTGTTTCCTAAAGGTTCTTCAATGAGGTCAACACCAGTGCCTGCCAGAACAGCTGTTCCACTGACAGCGAGCCTGTGTTTCCCTCACTGCAGCAGTGGAGAAGCCTCACGTATCCCAGACACCAGCCAGCTGCCCAGAGCCCTGGTAGGGAAGGGGACAGACACCTTCCTGGCACTCATCCTCCCAGGTGACACTGTGGGGTTCCATGCCTGCTTTGCCTATATGCTTAGCACTGGTGCACTGGCCAGCAGGAGGGTGACCTGCACACAGAGCCACCTGGCAGAAGCAGCTGCTCACACAGCTGAGGAAACCTGGCTGGGTACCGGAGTCAAAGAAGCAGCAGGCGCTGTGGGGACAAGGACCATCTGGTCACCTGTGCCCCATCACTACATTTCCAAAGGATGGAAGTGTCCTGCAAGTGATTGCAGGAGAGGTACAATTGGAGAGATTTTTTTTTTCTTTTAAAGACAAGGGAGAAATACACAGCAGAGTGGAGACACTTATCCATGGTGGTGTGATGAGCAATTATGACAACTGTCAAGTGCGCAGGATGAATGCTCATGCCTATTAATTTAGCCTCACATTAGTGTCCAAGAGAGGAGGGCAGAGTGATACATGGTAGTGTCTGGTCCAGTCCATCTCTGCTTTTGCTCTTAACAGAGGACAGCCTCTTGCTTCGGTAGGAAGTTTACTGGTGCTTCAGAATGGTACCCAAGAGCCATGGAGCCCTGGTCCCCAGGCAGCAGGCTCACTGGAGGGGACCACCAGGAGCAGGGGACCCTCTAGCTCTCTAGGGGCGCCCGTCCTGCACACACAAGCTAACACCCCACCCTTTCAGTGGCACTTTCAGATCCTGTTTCCTAGACTCTGCCTGATGTTTCACTTCCCCGAAGCTCCCAGCTCTAACTTGTTCTGCTTCAGGAAGGACAGTGGAACCCGTCTTTAGCAGTTATCTCTCATCTAACAACACTAAATCAGTTAACCAGTCGTAACTAAGCATGGGAGGTAGTGTTAGGATTTAACACATTTTCAGCTCAAGGATTTTTTTGGTCTCTTAGTTCTGCCCTTTCAATTTCTAAAAACCTCCTATTAGAAGTGGACAACTCTAGGCCTGTCAAAGAACAGAACTTGGGGAAAACAAGTGGTCAGCTGCCAGCAACAAAGGACAGCTTGACCCAGGCTAGCATGTAAGATGGGCAAATGAGAAGAGCACAAATATTTAAATAATGCTTTTGGTCAAACCTGGAACCTGGTGGTGGTGCAATGTGTTAATGCACATGGCTGCTGCAATGAAAAGGTCAGAGGTTTGCATCTACTCACTGGAAGAGGCCTGGTGGCCTGCTTCCAAAGAGCAGCCACTAAAAGTGCAGTTTGAGTGCAGCTCTGCTTTGCTTATGTGGGGATACAGCCGCTTACCTGCAACTGGCTTGCTGGTGCTCATCAGCACCAAAAATGCCTTTTTGTTACCATGAGAAGATTAGTGGGCTCACACTTCAATTAAAAAGGGGGGAAGGTCCATGGTAGACAACAGTGATGATTATTGGGGTAAAGAGTGAGACAATGCTGCTGACTGAGGCCTGTTCTGCAGGAGAGCAAGCATGTTGTCTAAGCTTCAGAACTTCTGAGATGCTAACTAATAGGAATAGCAACAAGTCTGGCTGACCTGGCAGAAACGGAGTAGGCTCAGGGGACCTAAACATGATATATGTTATCAAGCCTGGGATGGGGGAAAGGTTGTTGGGCTTCAAAGAGAGGCATTTCCAGCACAGTATCCAAACAGTGATTTTGGTAGAAGAGAACCCTTAGTCATTCTCTATCAGTGGCTTCTGAACTGCGTTACCAATTAGCAAAACATCTGTCAGATCCAACTCCCAGCCAGCCCCCAAGACCAACCTCTGTGCACATGTGTACCCTCAGAGGGCCTCTCCTAAACTTGGCCCTGCTACCATCCTCACCTTTCATCCTGCAAACAAGGGGAGAGCGTGATCATAATGGAGCAGTCTTTGGCTGTCATGGCAACGCGATACTGCTGCACCTGCAGAGGAAGGAGGTCAGTGGTTGGCCAGAGACTCCAAGACCACCCACAGAGCACCCCACCCCAAGTCCTCTCCAACCTTCACCCCGTCCTTTACAGAACCCACGTCAGGGAAGTGAGGAGTGTAGTCATGTAAAGCAGGGACAATCCAGAGGGAGCCAAGAGGGGCTCACACATGCCCCATCCAGAGGGCACCAGAGGACTCTCAGCATAGACCCAGGGGGCTCTTTGCAAAGGTCAGCACTCTCTCGGACCTCTTCTTTGCAAAGCAGCTGTACATCTCCAATCCCAGCCCATGTCTAGAAGAAATAAAAGCCACGGTAGCTGAGCCAGTTCTGACCCACAGCAACCCTGCACTATGATCCATGGCTGGAAAGCCTGTGAAAGGGACTTTCACAACCTAGTGCACAAAGTGTCCGCAGAGCTCCTAAAGAACTTAACGTGGCTCCACTAGATGCCACAGAAATAAAGGGATGGGTGCAGCCAAGTTGAACTACATGATCAGCACATAAAGTGAATATTCTAAAAACAAAATATTCCTTTATTGTCTGACAATATTACAAGAGCTCCGGTGGCTTAGTGGTAAGGAGTTATGCTGCCAACTCAAAGGCACACGGTTTGAATCCAATAACTGCTCCACAGTAAAAAGATGGGCAATCTCCTCTCATGCCTCTAGAAACCCACTGGAAGGTCAGCTAAGAGTTGGTTCCAACTTGACATACAACAAGTATTACAAAGATGGTAATCTTTATCAAAATCCCTGGAAGTTCCTTTGGGGGAAAAAATGGACCAGCTGATTCTAAGAAGTCATGTAAAATTACAAAGAACCAAGAACAGCCAAAATCTTTAAAAAGAACAGATGTTGGAGAACTCACACTTCCTGGTTTTAAAACGTACAGGTAGTAACTAAAAATCTACAGGTAGTAACTGGGAAACCAGCATAAATATATATAAATTGCTGCTATGTACTACTGGGGCAGAACTGACTCAGAGCTGATCCTCCAGCAGGTTTTCAGAGGCAGTAAATCCCATGGAAGGCCACTGCCCATCATTCTCCCTTGGAGCAGCTGCTGGGCCCAAACCTCTTGCCTTTGAGATGGCAGCACACACACTCCTGATCACTAAGCCACCAGAGTGGAGTTGATTTGAAAAATATATGGCCAACTGATTTCCACAAGGATGCAACAATAGTCAGAGGGGAAAGACACCTAGGAAAAGCTCAGATGAGGAAGGTGCCCCTTTTCTCAGAGCAGCTAGTCAAATAGGGACCAGAGGCTGCACAACACGAAGTGGCTTAGATTAGGTAAAGGGTGTGTATTCACTGACTGGACCGCTCAGTACCATGAATAGGGTCCCAGTTATACATTTTCATTCATTTCCCATTGACTGAGTCCTTGGTCCTTGGAGATCTCTTCTGGGGCTTACTGGATTTGTAAATTCATGAATGGGAGAGGAGAATACATCCTTGGTAACCTGTGCCAGGAACTCTCCTGGTCCTTTCCTTATATATCTCTTTGCCAGTATTCTTTCTGGTTATTGTTAGGAGCTGTCAAGCAGGACTCAGAGTGACCCTATGAACAAAAGATCTGAACCCTGTCTTATCCTGTGCCATCCTCATCATCTCCAGAGACATTTGGGCCCAGGAAGTCACTATGTCAATCCATCCTGTTAAATACCTTCCTCTCTTTTGCTGGTCTTCCTCCTTCCCAAGGACAGCCTCTCCCAGCGCCAAGCCCAAAGTGTAAGAGATGAAGCTTTGCCATCCTTGCCTCCAAAGAGCACTCTGGCTGCACTCTCTCCAAGACATAATTGTTCTTTTGGCAGTCCATATTCAGTACTCTCCTTCAACACCACAACTCAAAGGTATTGATTGTTCTGTCATCCTAATTCATTAACCATCTCTCATATGCACAGCAGGTGACTGGAAAAACTGTCGTTTGAATCAGGAACATCTTAGTCTTTAAAAAAACTGAAATCAGTGCTCTTCAGTACTTTGGAGAGGTCCCTGACAGCAGACTTTTCCGCTGCTCAAAGGGAGCATCACCTGATCTCCTTCCTGCTGGTATCAAGGATGTTGATTACAGATATAAGCAAGACAAAATTGTTGATCATTTCAACTTTTTTCTCCATCTATCATGATGTTGCCAAATGTTCTAGTGAGGATTTGTGTTTCCTTGATGTTGAGATGTAACCCCCATGAAGGCGGTAGTCCTTGATCCTCTGCCTAAGTCCTTCTTTTCATTAGCATGTTGCAGGCTGTTAATCCTTCTCCAATTCTGATGCCACATTCTTCTTCATAAAGTCCAGTTTCTCTAATGCTTTGCTCAGCATACAGACTGAATAGGTATGGATAAAAGACACAGCCCTGATACGCATTTCTTTATTTTAAACTACGCGCTGTTCCTTTGCTCTGTTCAGACAACAGGTTCTTCTAGGTATAGATTTCATATGAGTACGATTAAGTGTTCTGGAATTCCTATTCTTTTCAATGTTAGCCATAGTTTGTTATGATCCACAAAGTCAAATGCCTTTTCACAGTCAGTAACACAGAAACAGACATCTTTCTTGTAGTCTCTGCTTTTAGCCAAGATCTACTGGACATAAGCAAAAATATCCTTCATGACACACACTCTTCTAAACCCAGCTTGAACTTCAGGTAGTTCTCTGTCAATGTACTGTTCAAATGGTTTTTGAATAATCTTCAGTAGTATTTTGCTTGCATATGATAACAATATGTAATAATTTCTACATTCTGTTAGATTACCTTTCTTGGGACTAAGAATATCTATCTATTCTACTCAGTTGATTAAGTAGCAGGTCTTCAAACTTCCTAGCATAGACTGGTGAGCATGTTAGTTGCAGCATGTCAATTCTTGGGGCTTTCTTTTTTGCCAATGCCTTCAGTGCAGCTTGAGCTTCTTCCTTTATTACCACTGGTTCTTGATCATATATGCTACTTCCTGAAATTTTTCAGTCAGTGTTGACCAATTCTTTTTTGAACTGTGACTCCAGGTATTCTCTCCATCTTCTTTTGATGCTTCCTGGATCATTCAAGATTTTTCCCATAGTGTCTTGTAGTATTGCAACTCAAAGTTTTAAGCTCTTTAAACTTTAGCAATGCTTAGCAAGTTGTTCCCTTTTTATTCTCCGATTCCAGCTCTTTGCACATTCCATTATAATACTTTGTCTCCTAGAGCTGTCCTTTTAATCTTCTGTTCAAATGCTGAGTAAAAACTTCATCTTCTCCTCCCTTTGTTTGGCTTCTCAACGCTCTAATGCAGCTTTCAGAGTCTCTTCTGACATCCATTTTGGTCGTTATTTTCTTCTGTCTTTGTAATTACCTTTTGCTCTCTTCATGGATGATATCCTTGATGTCATCCCACAACTCATCTCATCTTCACATTAGTGCTCAATGATTCTACCTATTCTTTTTTATTTTTTGGCCCAAACCTATTCTTGAAATAATTATTAAATTCAGGTGGGACAGACCCAAAGTCTATTTTGGTTCTTGAAAACCTGTTTTCATTTTCTACAACTTCAATTACAGGGCTAGTTTCACAGTCAGCACCTGGCTTGGCTTTTACTACTGATACTGAGCTTCAACAATTCTTGTCACAGATGCAGACAATGTGATTCCTGGGCAGTCCGTCAGGTGAGGCCCATGTATGTGATCTGTGTTTCTTAAAAAAGATAGCTGCCATGAATAACTCATCAAACGCACTAAATTCAGTCATTCGATCTCTAGATTAATTTCTGTTGCCAATTCCATAATTTCCAACTATTTTGTTTCCAACTTTTGCTTTCCAGTCACCAATTAGTATTAATGTCTTGACTGCATCTCTAGTCAATTTCAGACTACAAAAGTTGCTGCTACTTGTTGTGCAGCATGGCATCAGAGTTTCTCTTCTTCAGTTTTAGCTATTAGTACATATATTTGGATTAACAGTTGTATTAATAGTTCTTTGTATGCATATGAATAGTATCATATCATGCACAGCATTGTACTTCAGGATAGACCCTGAAATTATCCTTTTGATCATTAATACAACATCAGTCCATTTCAGCTAATTCTGAGAATGTCAAGCTTTATTTAACAAATTCCATTTCCTTTTTTGACAATTCTCAACTTTACTATCCGTATTTCATACAATTAATTTCAATTAAAGGATGTTTACAGCTGCTTCTCATTTTTCAGTCTCTTCTACTCTAAGGTTCTACCACTAATCAGAGTTCCTCTGAAATGTTCACAGGGTTTTCAAAAGCCAACTACAGTAAGTGGGAAACACAGGTGATAAAGTCAAAACCAAACCCACTGCCATGCAGTTTCCATTGCTGATAACCCTTCATCAGGTTTCTGTGGCCATATATGTTATGGGAAGAGGACTACCCAAACTACCAACTGTTTGTTAATAGCATAACAAGATACAAGATATGGGGCCAGAGCTCCTTAACATAGGTGTGTATTTCTGAGTTGTTACTGAGAATGAATAACCCCACAGGGGCAATGGGCTGGCAGGCACACAATATCTGTGAAGACTCAGCTGCAGGGAGTTGGTAAGGCCAGTCCTTCTCAGGTGCTCTGGCCCTAGGCAGTGAGGGAGAGAGAAAGTGAGCCTGCCAGGTCTACAGTGAAGAAAGCTGTGCAGACTCCTGAGTCTGTAACTGGTATCCAATGACCTGGCCCTAGGTGCTAGAGATGCCCCAGCCTCACCTGGTGGTTAAGGTGAAAGAGTAAGTAGCACAGAAAAAGTGGCTGGTGATGAGATGAGGTGAACCACAGGCCCACTTCCAGGCAAGAAATGGAATCATGGTGATCTCTGCCACTGGTAGGTGATAACAGTGGGATTTGTGCACTTCTAACACTACCTGCTTGGTATAGGTAGTCCCGATGTAGTCAGTTGTGAGGAGCTGCTCTCTTCAGTTGCTCTTACTGCTTACAATGCTGTGGCATGTATTTGCTAATGTTATCATTCTCAGATGTTCAATTTTATGATTTGCTG